TACTCTGCCAACGGTGTCTGCACTGCAGCAAGGCTATTCCCGAGAATGGAAGCCTTAACTCAAAGGAGCCCAGGGTGGGTGGATGGAGACACAGGGGAGAATTTGGGACCGAAGTCTCTCCCATATAAATCACATGACCCAGGGACAATGGCAGTGGTGGAAGGGGACTTGAGGGTGGGCAGATCCTCTCAGTTCTGAGTCTACAAGTATTTCTGTATCTAAATAAATTAGTCAGTGCGTTCTGTTCTACTTCAGGCCATTTGGTTTAATGGAGTCCATGAGCCCAGAGGCTATTGCTACCTCAGCCACAGAAGTCAGAGACTTCTGAGAAAGGTGAGACTCCTGGCTATCAGGGTTTTAATGGCTTCAAAGGCCAAACAACAATCTGGGGCAGAACTGGGAGGCTGGCCAACCCCACCACGTCCTCCTGGTCTGCGTTTTTAATTATTCCCAACCTCTGGGGCAACTTCACAAAGGAGTCTCTCAGCTTGGATGCTTCATTCAACTTTCCATAAAAACTTCAGGAAGTTTTCAGGCACAAGAGAAAATGGTCTCAGTAGAGTTGTAGGGCCCTATCTTCTCTCTCCCAAGTCCCCATCCTCTAGGTCCAGGTGACCGAACCTCAGTCAACACTGCTTTGCCTACTTGCAAAATGGGGGCACCTGTCCTGTACTTCAAACCTGGGTGTAGACCACTGACCCCACACTCCTCCCCTGCAGACTCCAAAGACACTCTGTCACCTTGGTCCATGACAACAGCTCCCGGCTTAACTGATAGTGATAAGAATAGCAACTGCCTTGACTTTTTTCAGGCGATGTGTTCATCATAATCTGGCCTGGCCTTCACAATGGCTCAATATATTTGGTATTATTAGAACAGGAAAGTGAGTTCATGAAGGATAAGTAACTTATCCCTCATAACAGTGTGATAGACAGAATAGTGGTCCCCCGAAGTGATCATGCTCTAATCCCCAGAACCTGCGAATGTGTCCCCGTCATGATAAAGAGACTGTGATTCAGTCAAGGATCTTGAGATGGGGAGACTGGCCTGGATTGTTCAGGTGGGTCTGATAGAATCAGAAGGGTTCTTGTAAGAGGGAGGCGGGAGGATCAGACTGTCAATGGAGGCAGAGACTGGAGTGATGGTATAGTGAATGCTCACAATCGATACTTTCAACACCCAGTGGTCATAGCTCCTCTTCATTACAGGTGACAGGGAGACACATGGAAGTGTGGCATCCTGCAGACAATAGAGAGACTAAGCGCCTGGCAGTGCGAGGCTGACCAGCAGGGTCAGTGCTGCTGAACCTCAGTTTCCTCACCTGTCAAGTGGGGACCATGATGGTAGAGACCTCATGGGGAGTTTGAAAGGATTTAATGAAATAAAGTGATTTACCAGGTAAATCACTGAATGCAATGCCTGGCACAGGAAAACACACTAAAAAAACATTATTCTCTGAAACTACTCAGTGTTTAATATTACCTTCTAGCCTTTCGCTGGGGAGTTTTAACTTCAGAATTTCAGGTTTGCAATGCACCATCCCAAGATTTCACAAATAGAAAAACATTATTTCCTCATTTTTATTTAATGCTTTAGATTTAGTGTTTAGTCATTAGCTGTTATTTCTGAATAAATGATGGAGTGGGTTGAACAGTGTCCCTCCAAAACTCATCCCCACCCAAAACCTCAGAATGTGACTTATTTGGACATAGGGTCTTTGAGGATGCAAGGACTGAAACGATACCTCCCCAGATTTGGGGAGATCTAAATCCAATTAGAGTGTCCTTCTAAGAAACAGCAAAGCACACACAGAGACACACAGGGATGAGGCCACATGACAAGGGAGGCAGAGACTGGAGTAACACAGCTTCAAGCCCAGAAACGCTGAGGGCCCCAGAAGAGGCCAAAAAGAATTCTTCAGCAGAGCTTTCTAGACATTTTGATCTCAGACTTCTAGCCTCCTGGACTGCGAGAGAGTAAATCTCTGTAGTTTTAAGCCACCCACTTTGCTGTAACTTATCACAGCAGCTCTAGGAAACAAACATGAATGGTGATTTTTGGTGCCCCCCCACAATCACAGCACTGGTGGGGAGGCCTGCTTATCTACCCCCGAAGGCTCCTGCGTGGGGAAGGAATATTTCACATTGGAGATCAGTTCTTCCTCTTCGCCACTTTGCAGCATACGGACTGCAGCAAGACCATAAGGACAGAACCAGAAAGTCAGTCAGGATTACTCATGCAGCGTATAGAGCTCTCCACTTGGCAGAAGCGTAGCAGACATGTTTCTCTGCTACCAATTTGCTGTGTGACCTTGAGGGGTGATTTAAACCTTTGAGGCTTCCTCTTCCTCAAAGTGAACTGGTTAAACAAAACATCAGAGAATTAGTTAGCAAATCATGGCCTGAAGACCAAAGGGAAGACAAAGAGGAGAATATGAAGAACTCTTGGAATACTGCATGCATCTTCCCTGAGAGAAATAAGCTCATGTAACTGCTTAGAACCCACGTGTTTCCTAGGGCCTTTGTCAGTGCGATGTTGTGTCTGCAGCCGTCTACTCTGCATTACTGCTGCAGTACCGGCCTCTGACAACAGACTGTCCATTTAAACACAGACACTCCTGCCAACTTGGTAGATTGCAGTTGTTTTTTGGGGCATGCATATCAGTGCCAGCATCTCAGGAAAAATGCACATGGTGTGTGTTGCTCCCGGTCTCTGCTTACTATATAATCATAGGCCTTTTCTCAGTAACTCCTACTGCAAGTCACGATCGCAAGGGCCTCTCCCAGCCTCCCTGGGAATCTAGTCCACACGGCAGGTTGAATCTTGCCCATTCGCCTTGCAGGCACAACATCATACAAGGTTAGAGGAGATTTAATTAGAAAAGGTAATCTTTTGATCTTTAGATTGCATATCAAGGATTGGAGATTCCAAAAACTCTCCATGGCTATTTGCAATGTTGCATAAACTCATTGGCAGCAGGGAAGAAGCCAAGGTTAGGAAGAGTTAATTCAGATTCTAGGCCACATTCATGTTTCTCTCCTGCTCTGTCCAACACCTTTGGCCTCTGTGACTTCTTACATTACCGCAGTGTGACTCCCTTTCCCCCAGATCCCTCCATCCACAGTAGCTGGGGAGTGGTGAATTCTGGTTTGTTTATATTCTTTTGTACATGTTCTTCCCAAAGGATCTGTTGAAATCACCAGCATATTTCTTCCTTGTGCATCTTTTACATTTTTCTACCATGTTTTTCTATACAAAGAAAATAACCAACAATGTACCTGCTTGCGTGGAAGGAAAGGAAGTGGGAGCACCGACGTGTACAAACTGCTCCCAGCAGACCATGAGGAAACCTGCAGACTCTGGGAAAACCACACCGGGGAGACTTAGAACATGGATGCAACTGTTATTACTGATTCCTTGAGGTTTTTAACCAGCAGATTAAAACTGAGAACAGGCTAAAGTAAAAGAAAAATGTAAAAGTAAATTATCCAATGAAACCACTGCAGAAAAATATCTATGTAGAGTGAGTAGAAAAGCAACGACTACTTCCAAGTGAGGATGGGGATGGGGGAAGTTTGGGGACAGAATGTGCAGAGCAGGGAGAGGTGAAGAGGTGACGGCTACAGAAGTCAGGATCATCAAGTGAAACGAACTAGACAGGGATGACTGTAACCTGTTCTCTCTGGGAGCAGCAAGAGTCCCACAGCCAGGCGGGGCCCCAGAGAGCTCTCCCCAGCCTCTCCAGACGTCCCCCTCGGGGTGATTTCAGAGCCAGCACAGCTGTGTAGCCCAGGCCTGCAAAAGCTCAGAAGGAAGCCCAGTTTCACAGAGACTCCTGCAGCTCTGAAGACTAGATGCCCAAGCCGGCCATTCAGCAGCCAGCAGGCCTTGGTGACTAATTTATCAGTGTTCGGAGGATTACTTTTGAAGGTAGAAATGAATGCCCCTCTCTGAGCTCCAGAACATAGCTCACCGAGTATGAATCACCGTGCTAATCCAGCACAGGACTCTGTAGGGTGTGGGCTGTGCTATTTGTCCTGGGCCCCTGGGAGAAAGCCATGATATATTTCAAGCAGGGTGTTTTCAGAGAGAGCATTAACACTGTGAATTATATGGAGAATGCAAATGAAATAGCAGTGAAACTGACCTTGAGTTCTGCAGTTCAAACTAGTTCCCTGTTAGCTAATAGCCAAGCCAACTGAGAACATCAGGAGCAGAAGGTACAGATGTTCTGTTTACCAAACAGAAAACATTAACATCTTGGTTGTACATTGAAACCCACTAAGACATGAAAATACACACAGGGCAAAGGGGGAAAGTTCAACAAATTTTCCTGAGCAGATTTGTTTTTTTTAGGCCACCTCTGCCCTAGCATTTTTTTCAAATATGAGTCAAGGAAGACATTCATAGGAGGATTTTTTTCAGAGGCTTTTTTGGCCCTATGAGTTTGACAGCTTTAATGCAGTGCATTCCAGAAATTGCCTGTTGAAATATAAAGCTGTAGGTCGTATCTGGGAGTAAGACAGTCGTATATTTCATCCTTTGGGGAACAGCAGAAATGGAGACTATTAGAATTACCAGGGATCATTCTATTTTACAGGAAAGGGAATATCAAGGAACCTTGTGTCCTATAGCCATGGGCTGTCACTCATTGCCCATATAAGTCTCGGGCTGGGTGTAGATAAAACAAAAGGTTGTCACTGCAAAGTTGCCTCTGAATTAACTGTCTCAGAGGCACTAACCGTCTCATGCTGCACTAATTGAGTCCCAGCTTCTGGCCAGTGTGGCTCACAGTCCAAGTCTTTACTGCTGACAGGACTGAAGTGTCATCTGCACACGTGACTGCACGCCCCACATACATCCCTGAAATCATCCCTAGCTGACGGCTAAAGTCAGCCCGGCCCCACCCCTCATTATTTTTTCTGCTTTGAGAATGGGCTCGGTTAAGTGCCAGCACTGCCTTCAAAGAGCTCCCAGAGTTCTTTGTCCTCTGGGGAGTCCCACTTCCCCACTCTGCTGGGGGAAGCCCTCCTGACACTGCTCAGGTGGGGTGGGCAACTGCAGCCAGGAAGGTTCGACATGGATTGAAACGCAACCCTGGCCTGGCAGGAGTTCACACGCAGCCCTGCTTCTGCCCTTCAGTGACAGACAGAAACCGGGCTGCCTGGGGGGCACAGAGGGACAGCCTGGTCGGTGTTGGCAAGAGCTTTCTCCCAAGGTAGGTGGGCAGGGTTCTGCTGAAGGAACTAAAGAGACTCACAAGCACTGGCGACCTTTTATGGGATTCACCATCCGACTGAGGTCAGAAGAGAAAGCCGAGTCCAACTGCCCGTTTCCATCTACATAAAACCCATTGCTAGAGTTGAGCCGAGAACAAAACTCCAAAAATTAAAAATTAGCTGACATCTTCCCAGAACAGGTGACCTGTAGAAATCAATGGCAGGAGTGATGGGGCCTAGGAAAGGGGTACCCACCTAGAGAGGGGGTACCTGCCAAAGCAACGGGCATGAGTGGTTTGGAGAGGGTTTCAAAGGGCTACATGGCCTCCGCCCAAGCCTGGACTGGACTTGGAGAACCCGAGCATGTCGGACACTTGGTTGCCCTCAATGGCTCCTAGGAATGTGAGGGGACTAGACCCAGAGCAGGGCACACCCACGAGCTTGGTTCACAACGCTCTCAAGCCATTACGCCTTCCTTCATGGTGACACGCAAAAGGGATTTCATTCTCTGCACCGCTAGGGAAGGAAATGTTGTAGCACCTCATAGTGTTGCTACTCACTAATAATCCTCCACACAGAGCGAGGGGAAACTTAGGAAGGTATCCACCAACAGACCTAGGCCACGGGCCAGAGCCCCCATAGGTAGACAGTAGGAACCGAGAGACTTGGATCATACCCCCAGTTCTGCTTCTGAGAAGCCACAAGAGTTTAGGCAAGTCCCTAAACCTTAGTTTTCTCATTCATGAAATGAGACTATTACTCTCCTACTTAACCTCACAGGACTAATGTGAGGCTCACAGATACCTTTACGTGTTCAGACTTTGAAAAGTGCCCCATAAACAGGAGAAAGACTTGTTTGAATGAACGAGAGACTATCTTCCCCTCCCTCTGCTTGCTGAGTCTGTAGCTCCAGCTGGCTCTCTGGAGTCAGCCCGGCTATCTATCACTCATCCCCCCAGGACCTGCCAGCTCCCTGCCGCTCGGGGATCCAGCAAACCAAGCAGCTGCTGAGCCAAGAAAGTGCGCCTGCGGAAGGGACATCTCCCTAGGCTATGAACACTCCGAAACCCCTGGGGCAGAAGTCCTCTCTGTAAGCTGGGGATGAGCTGGGGAGCAGGAATACCTTTCTTTTCATTAAAACACTAAAAAAAAACTTAACTATGACCTGAAACCCTGTAGGTATGTGAAAGGAGGACCCTGCTGCTTTCCTTGTGCTCCTGCTGAGTCAGTCTCTGAGTCTGCACAAGGATCGGTTGGGTCAGATTTTGGAAACAAACTGTGGCTCACCGAAAAGTCAGGTCAACAAGGAGCAAGTGCAACCACTTGTTCAGAGCTGCCTCAAGACTGTGTTCAGCTGTGTAATGAGACTGAGGAGTAAAACCTGCTTCTTACCTGAACTTTACTCATACTGCTCTTTTATGTGAAGCTGATTCACGGCTCTAAGTAATTTTCCCTTCTTTATTCACCCCATTGCAGACCTCTGCAGTGAGAACTTGAACTACAGACCCAGGCACTGGGTCCTGGAGAGCACCCCTTCCCAGGGGGTACTTGGAATTGCTTGGTTAGTAAGAGACTAAAAGCAACGTGGAAAGGCACAGTTCTTTTGAAAAGGAATGAGGACCCCACGCAAGGATTGGTAGGTTGCTGAGTAGAGAAAGACAGAAGGTGGCTCAGGGCCTTTGAACCCTGCCCAGCTGCAGCCAGCGAGCGTGCGGAAGTCCACACACGATTATCGGCCAAGGTTTTGGTGTTCAGTCCTTAGCTGGCTCTGACCTGATGAGTTGGGGCTGTTGGGACTGTACGTGAGCAAGAAGGCCCCTGCTCACGCACGGTGAAGGCCCCTGCTCACGCACGGTGAAGGCCTAAGCGGCGTTCACCCCGCACCCTCCTTTTCTCGGACACCTGCTTGAGGGTGTCTCGGGCAGGGGACTCCTCCCAAGTGGAGAGTCCCAGGCCCAGCACACAATCAGGAGAAAGAAGGAGACAGAGATGGAGCTGGAGGTAGAGACAGATAAGTTAGAGGTTAGAGGTTAGATGTAGAGAGAGAAGGAGAAAGAGACAGAATTAGGAACAAATACATGTTTCAAAGGGTCTGATATTCAAAAGATGACATTCCACGAAGAGCCTTAAACTTCTGTCCCTTGCCCTCACTGTGTCCCACCTCAACACCACAGTCCAATGTGTCCCTAAGCAGAGCCTTGAACCAGGGAATTGCAGGGAGGTAGGAGTGAGCAGGGCTGGGGTTCACGCTGCCTGCGAGACCCTATTGGCCGGCCCAGCTTCTGAGGACAGAGGAGCCCTGAGCAGGCCTAGGACGATGAGCGTTCTCAGCAACTAGAGGAGAAGGACAAATGTGACCAGCTGTCACCAGCAGGTCCACTGGGAGAGCCCTGATGGGAGAGTCACATGAGAACAACAAAACAGGAACACATATCTTGAAAGAGATCTAAGTAGGGCATCAAAAGACTTTGCGACATCACAGAATAGATGACCTTAATTTGCATTTACAAACTAAACATTTTAATATAGTTATTTAATAGACAATTTGTAAAAGCGAGCAGTCAAAATCAAGAACCAGCTCAAAGGCCTGGAAGAACCACATTGCCACACAGATAAAATGCAAAGAGCCAGAATCATAGGAAACAGTGAGGAGAGTTGAAGGGAGGTCCAGGAGGCCTCTCATGTGGAGAGGACGAGGTCTGGAAGCTAAAAGAAGGAGCAGAGAGAGGGAAGTTTAATAATCCAATAAATAGCAGGGGGAAAACTTCCTGTCTGAAGAAAGACTTGAGTCAGCAGATTGAAAGGGTGCATTGAGTTCCAAGGGGGATTAATGGGGACCAGCACAGCTCCTGGTGAAATTTCTAAAACCTCAGAGGTAAGGCAGGGAGCGCTCCTTTAACTCTTCCTGGGACCTTATTTCCCCAGCTGTAGTCCATGAACTTGCTGCCTCAGAACCAGGAAGCGTCTGAATCACATCCTTTGGTGGGTTTGGGGAGATGCAAACAGTTCGTGGTAGGTAGCAGCAACTGGAAAGTATTGGAGTAGCAAAAGGGACCTCTTGAGAAATGTAGACGCACCAAATGACAGCCAGGGCCCACTTATCCGACAGAGTCTCACCGATCTTCCTCAGGGAAGCGTTGCAGGTTCTCACACCTGTGCACATGTGCACCCAAAGTCAGACAACTGCACCCAGTAGTGCTCATCTACAGATGGAGTTCAGATAAACAACTTCAGAGCTCTTGTTGTTTAAAAAGTGTCCCAATCTTGCTCTTGGACTTTGTAAAGTAAAAGAAAAATGTGAAGCTGAATGATCTAATGAGACCGTTTTCCTTACTACCACTTGCTTAGATTCTCACAGAACACAGAATGCTGGGCAGGTACAGTCCAACCCTCAAACCCGCAGTGACGCTGGCACGCTTCTCTACACAGAGGTCACACGGGGAAAACTCGTGTTTGCATAACCATCTTCTCTGCTTGCAAAGATCATCTGGGTTCAGGAAATAACCACTGGTTTTTAAAAGTGACCTTTGAAGAGATACAATCGACAAAGGATAAAATGCACCCATTTGAAGTGTACATTTGGATGAGTACATTCACCTTCAGAACTACTAGCACACGGTGTAACTACAGAGCTTTTCCATCGTCCCCAAAAGCCCTCTCCATCCCTTTGCTGTCCATCCCTCCCCCAACCCTTGGCCCTGACAATCACTCATCTGCTTTCTGTCACTATAGATTTGTTTGCCTTTTCCCTGTATTATAGACAGAATCTTATACTGTATTGGTTTTCTAAGGCTACGGTAATGATCTACCAAAAGCTGGATGGCTTAAAATAGCAGATGCTTATTCTTTCACAGTTCTGGAGACCAGAAGTCAGCAGGTCCTCACTCCCTCCACAGGTTCTTGGGGAGAATCCTTCTTGCTGCTTTCGGTTTCTGGACGTGCCCTGTGGTCCTTGGCTAGTGGTAGCATCACTCCCATCCTTCTCTGTCTTCACAGAGCCTTCCTCCCCGTGGCTGCATTGCTGGGCTCTTTCTCTTATGCCAGCACCAGTCACCTGATTTAGGACCCGCCCTAGATCCAGGGTGGTGGCATCCTGAGTTCCTTAACTTAATCACATCTGCAAAGACACTATTTCCAAATGAGGTCACTGCATGGAGTAAACCCCGTTTTCCTCCTGGTTTCCCTTTAACTCTCATATCACTATCACACTCTAAACCCTCTGGACATCAGATGTATGGGGTTCTCCCCACAACAAGCAATTCTCTGCAAGACCAGATGGCTGTCCTACAATCTAACTCCATCCTAATATTATCTACTGGGACAGCATGTCAGATCCCACAGGTTCAAGGTTCAGTCCTACACCCACTGACATCAATCCCAAGTCCAGGTTGTCCCCTGAGCTTCTGAGGGATGGGCTATAAATAGGAGGTTCCCAGGACACCCTCCTTGGGTTTGATTAATTTGCTAGAGCGGCTCACAGAACTCAAGAACACCATTTACTTACTGCTCACCAGGTTGTTACGAGAGGATATGAGAAAGGATACAGATGAGCATCCTGGTAGAAGAGCTGTGCAGGGCCAGGTGCGTGGGAAGGGCACGGAGCCTCCACGGGCTCTCAGAACACACCCCTCTCTCCCGACCTTCACGTGTGCACCAACCCAGAAGGTCTCTGAACCCCACAATTTGGGGATTTTTAGGGAGGCTTCCTCAGGTAGGAATAATGGATTATTAATTCCAATCCAGCCGTTCTTCCCTCTCTGGACCATGGGCGGTGGGGTTGAAAATCCCAAGCTGCTAATCAGAGGTTGGTCTTTCTGGTGACCAGCCTCCATCCAGAAGCCCACCCAGAGTCACCTCCTCACAGCAACAAAAAGACACTCCTGTCACCAAGGAAATTCCAAGGGACTGAGGAGCTCAGTGCCAGGAACCAAGGGTGGAGACCAAATATTGGAACAAGAGCTCCTAGTGCACCTATCACTCGGGACTTTGCAATGTTTTAGGAGCTCTGTGCCAGGCATCGGGGGAAGAACCAATATGTGCTTTTTCCATTATCTCAGGTTCAGAGGGACCAGGGGTGAGGGCTTAGATGGAGCTTTGCACAGATATACCACAATCGGATTATCTGTTCATCTGCAAATGGACATTTGGATCCTTTCCAGGTTTTGACTACTGGAGATAAAACTCCACGGTCATTGTGTGCAAACTTCTACCTAAATGGATGCTTTCATTCCTCCTGAGTAAACGCACTTAACCCAAGTGTGTATCTGATTTGATATAAAGCTGTCGAGGAGTTTCTCAAGTGATTGTACCAGTTTACCTTCCCAGAGGCAGGTAAGAGAATTCTACCTGTTCCTCATCCTCACCTCAACCTGGTGTTTGTACTATCAGTTGGTTTTTTTTTTAATTTAAGCTCTTTCTGTGGGTGTGTAGTGGTGTCTCATTGTGGTTTTATTTGCATTCCCCTGATGACTGATGATGATGAATATCTTTCCATGAACTTCTTTTCTTTTATGAACAGTTGTTTAAATCTTTGGCCCATTTTTAATCAGATTTGTTTGTCTTCTTGCTATTGTAGCCATTACTTTTTGAAAGCATTTTATTTTTCTAACAAGAATGAACAAAATTGTTTTTAATTTGGGACTGAGAAAGCTCTGCCAAGTGATTAACAAACAACTCAGCAGAGACATTTTCCAGTCCAGGACAGAAATTCAGTCTTGAACAGCACCGTGAAGAGAAAAGCTGCCCATCAGTGACCAGAGGGCTGGTCTATGGTACCTGACTGGTGTGGTTCAGTGGGTTGGGCATCCACCCACAAGACGAGAGGTTGCTGGTTTGATTCCACATCCAGGCACATGCCTGGGTTGTGGGCCAGGTTCCCCCCAGTTGAGGGGCAGGCAAGATGCAACCTGATTGATGTTTTTTTTCACATCAGTTTCTCTCCTTTTTCTCCCTCCTTTCCCTTCTCTCAAAAAATAAATAGAATCCTTAAAAAATAAAAAAGAAGAAGCCAGGCTTCCTTCATCTTCCACCATGTAAGTTTTTCCTTCTGATCAACAGTTAAAATAGCCACAAAGACCCTCCAAAGGTACCATATTTAAATGCTCAAACAACTCTTTTTTGGCCTTTTGCCTGAAAAAAAAAACCCCACATTCAAGAAAGACCGAAGAGCCGCCTGTGAGGGAGGGAAGATGCCACCGTGTTCAGACAGTCCTTCCAGGTTACTCGCTAATGCACAGTCTCAGGTCAGTGAGAACATCAGCCCAGCACGCATAGCACCTCTTGCAGCTTGAGATTACAGAGCACAATCACGGTCATGGTCATTATTGTGTGTC